ACATTAAATTTAGAATAACAAATGATAAGACAATCTTATTCAAATGTCGTAATAATACCTCTGACCAAGGAAAAATGATTTATATGGTTTATGGTTTTCATAAAAGTTGACGATACAAATACTAATGAGGAAAGGAATTCCGCATTTCCTTTTCCTCTCCTTCCCTTCCCTTCTTCTCTTTTCAGAAAGCGAGTAATGGCGCTATAACCATATGCCATATAGGGCTAGGACAAGAGTTAGTGCTCAGGTCCCAACCGCTAGAAGAAAATGGTAGCGAGCAAGGGCGCTATAACCTAGGCGAATACAGCATTCCCTCCGTATAGGTTACGTCCGCACACCGCTCTCTGTTGTTCTTCGACTGAGGTCGGTTGGATCGATTGAGGGATGGCAGTGGGTTGGCGGTGCCGTCCACGCTTGTACGGAGGGAGGACTGTACGATCGAACACAAGGGGTAAATACCTGTGTTCCATCCCAGGAGAGCGGACAACCAAGGAGTGTACATTAACTTTCTTAGCTCTGTCACTCCCAACGATTTATATAGCCTATTTTCAAATCCTGCATACGGAGCGGTTGGTACGGTATGTCCCCGCTCTTTGATTACCTGTGGATTAAATGTTAACCACTGTCTATACTTATTAAGTAGACATGGTAAACATTCACTTCCACAAAAATTAACTAAACGCTACACAGTAGGCCTGGCCGCTTTATTGTTTGTTTCACATCCTTGATGTGCAGCAGGCATTAATAATGACAAGAAAAATGATAGATGTATCATTTTCCAGGATTCTTTCAAGTACTGGCTGTGTATGTGTAGACTATGTGTAGACTAGACTAGACAACGGTTCGAAACAAATTAATTGGTCATTAATCATTGCAATGGTGATATTGAACCTACTACCAATAATTTTGTTTCGAAAAATTACAGGTTTGGAACTGGAGTCGGGATGCTCATTATGTCCCACCTGTTCACGACGCCCCTCTTACCTCTATAGCATTAATAGATAATCAAATCGAGTATTTTAATGCCACAAAACGGCACACCGCGAAATGGTGTAGACCACGAACTGGATTACCGCAAAACTTTATACAACCCAATGTAGCCGCAATGCTGGTTTGAAAAAGCAAACCATTATTGGGGTTGCATCTGTTGACAAACCAGTAAACTAATCAGTGTACTACTAACTGACTCATCTTGTCCCACCTTACTCTACGTAGATTTAATCATATTCTTCATTTAAGATTTGAACTGGATCATTACCAGTATAGCAAGATTAATAGTCTAAACTAAGTGTTTGGTTCACCATATTCTGGAAAACGGAAATTTCTTAGTCAAAATGTAGGTACCTAAGCTTCTAGGATTTGAAAACCGCATAGATACATATATGGCCTCTCCTTTTTTTTAACTAGTTGGTTTATTTGGAATGCTCAATCGCGTTAGCTTTACGGAGCAGTCTAGTCTAGTAGGAGTTGGGCCGAATACTCGCGGCTTACTCGAGGTTAGAGAGGTACATTGTCGAAGGATAGGATCAGGGGAGGAGCTTGGGGGTAAGGTTTCGTTGTCTCATCAGAGCGTTGTCGCCAGTATGAATGATAGTGCGGTTCTAGTTTCGTCTGAAGTTCGACCGGCTATGGTGACCAGTGGGTGACGATGAGACTCATCGAGACGGGGGGACAAGACAAACAAAAACTATTAAAGAGAGACAAAAGACAAAGGAATTAAATTCTTATACTAGACATTTGAAGAAACACATAAACCGACTGCATATAGCAGATATCGCGAGTTCCCAACACGTCTCTGATAGGAACATAGGGTTGTCTTCCTTGGGCCTCAAGGGTATTCAAAAGTCGCTCTCTGGCGGCGTCATTATCCGTACATTGCCAAACTGCGTGATCGATGTCATCGTAACTGGTTCCACACCGAAAGATGTTGCTGTCCACGAGGTTTATTCTATTGAGATGAGCATCTAGCGAGTAGTGGTTGGACATAAGTCTACTCATCACGCGAATGAAGTCACGACTTAAGTCCAATCCTTTAAACCACGCTCTCGAAGAAACATTAGGAATAATTGAATGTAACCACCGTCCAAGATTTCCATTGTCCCAATCGGTCTGCCAACTCGAAAGGGTACTCTGACGCACTAAATGGTAAAATTCATCGTGTGAAATTTGCCTGTCATAAAATTCGCCTTCCTTTGCGAGCGAGTCCGCCTTCTCATTGCCTGGGATTGAGCAATGTGAGGGGACCCATACAAAGGTAATCATATATGATCTTTATACCAGCACAGAAGGAAGACACATATCTGAAGATATGTCTTCTTCTTCTTCTTGTTCGCATTTCAAGCTTATTGCTTAGCGCATATTAGCTTATTGCGTGCTCTCAACTTAGTGTTCTAAATGCACTTCCACAGTTATTAATTGAGAGCTTTCGATGCCAATACCAATGCATGAATTTGTATATTGTGTGGCAAGCACAATGATACTCTATGCCCAGGAAAGTCGAGAAAATTTCCAACCCGAAAGATTCCCTCGACCGGACTGGGAATCGAACCCGCCGCCTCCGGCTTGGTAATACCGTGCCTTTACTGACTAGGCTATGAGGCCCCACTAATACGATATGTAGTGGTGGTAGATTCTCATAAATCGAGATTGTGTGTTCAGCCCAAGAATTTCTTCAAAATTTTCAATTATAAGTGTGTTCGTCACTCCGCAATTGATTAGTATTCTGAGAGAGAGCTCCCAGAAACGGTTCTGGAGGAGTGTGGCCTCTCCTTGATTCCAAGCAGGAATAGCGAACTGAAAACACTACATGGAGCGTCAGATAGCCTATTCATTAAAAACACGGTCAAGACGGAGACGACAGGTTCGATTCCAGGCTCGGTCGAAGAAACCTATCAGGTTGGAAATTGTCTTGACCTCCCTGGGCACAAGCAGGGATCGGGTGCTACTCAATTTTTTCCGAGTAAAACACACGCTGTTGTGAGACTGCACTTTCATTTCCAAAGAGACGTGAAAGAGCATTTTAAATTGTGCAGCACATTTAATTTTTCTTGTGTTGGAGAGCTGCCGCTCCAACGGTGTTAAATCACTTTCTCTATCTCTTTGTTTCTCCGACAGTGTATTTTCTCTATAACTGTAGCGTTCGATTGAAAATGAACCAATACAACTATTAAATCGATCCGGTGAAAAAAAAAAATCTCGTGCCCATCATTTGAAGAGCCCCTTCCTCATTCGAAGCTCATTGTCACTGTCAATTAAGTCACCCACTATCATTTGATATACGACAGTGGTGTGTGGAAGAAACCCATCAAAATGGTCCCGAACAGACAAGTCGACCCGATGTTGGATCAATGTAAGGCTAATCTAAGGTTGATGTCGACCCAATGTCGTGTTGTTGTCGGGTTAATTCGGGGTTTATGTCGGGTCAATGTCGGGTCAATGTCGGGTCAGCTTCGGGTTAGGGGTTTGATAGAAGTCATGTCTCTTTAGGAAAAGCATCAAAATTTGCATTTTCCTACGCTTTTGAATACCATATAGTCACTGCAACATATATTATATGAGTGTAAAAATATTCTGCACCCAGCCTTAAAATATGGAGCCATTCTTGTAATCTCTAAGCCACGTCTCTCCCCATTGAAAAGTGCTACTCCCGTCATAACACCGTGCACTACTCGATTGTGCTATACGCAAGTAGCACCTGAGCTGTGCAACTACTCTCTCCTAAATATGAAATCTCTCTCTCCTTAGTCTCTTTCTCCTTCCAAATATAAGAGACGCGCTCCCTTATTTTAGAGTAGCACCAGTGTTTTTTCCACCACTCTGAGTTTTTAGTCGATCCCTGGGCACAAGGTATCATTGTACTTGCAACACAATATACAAATTCAATGGTTTGCATAGAAAGCTCTCAATAATAACCGCGAAAGTGCATATCTAGAAACACTAAGTTGAGAACCCGCAAAACGCTCGCTACAGAAACGTAGCAAGCCTAGAAAAGAAGAAACATTACATGTAAGCAGTTCCAGGCCAAGTAGCTAAAAAATAATAATAATTTTTGACTCGTCCTTCTCCGATTTGCATGAAACTTTGGATAAATGTTTGCTATAGGCAATCTGTCACATTTTTGTAGAAATTCGGCCACCTTGTATTTTTTTTTCAAAATGGCGGCTTTAGCATTTTTCAATAAATTGTAGCACGAAAACGTCACTTCTGATCGAAAGTTGTTGTGTAAAGTGAAATATTTCTTGGCAAAATATACACAGTAAGGGACTAGTACCATAGAGGTAACTCTAAGACCAGAAGGTCCCGAAGAAACGTGCTCAACTTTTTGGCTCAGCTCTGGTACTCCCTTCGGTCCCAAGCTAATCGATGCACCCCTCGAAACATAGGAAAATCCACGAACCCCTCATTTTATCTTTCAAACTTTCATAGAGAATCAAAACAAACATAGTATAGTACTAGAATTTCGACTAGAATGGGATACGCTCATAGATTTACTTGGAACCAATAGGCTAGTTAAGTAGTGAGCCAATTTAAAATCGTTAGTTTCCACCGGTTACTATAAATAAGAATAATGCGAAGTTTCGTGAAATTCGGAGAAGGTCGAGTTTTTCCGATTTGTCATTTAGCTTGGAACTGGTCATGTGTATATATGAAAAACCATGAAGGTCCTTCATTATGATAAATTTATTGGAGCACATGTTTGTTGAACCCAAACATTTTCAATGATCTAAAATTATACCTAACATGTAGTATTATCCAAAACAAAATTGATAATTAAAACAAATTGTACTAGACCCAAGTATCAATTAGGGTTTTATGAAGGTTCTGTACACCATGATTTAGACTTGTAGAATGCTTTAAAACCTTGATAAAACTTGCAATGCTACTTGGGGATAACAAATGGTATTCCTAAATTTCGATGAAATTTGGAATGTTCCAAAAAAATCTAATTGAAATTTATCAAAACAAAACAAGCATTGGTTTAGACGGCCGCACTCACTTACCAACATATGGTACGTATTTAATGACCACACAGTGATCCGGATGCTCATCGGGCTTATACAAGATGTTATTTGAAGCAACCATATCATCAACTACGTTACTCTTGGATATCTGAAAGTAAATTACGTATTTGTTAGAATCAGCCCTACGCTAGAACCGAATGGTCACAATAACGAACCTCCTTCGAACGGAACTGCTGCGGAGCGGAAAGATTCTTTCCGTCATTATTTCCTAGATGGTTATAACTAACAATCGACACTGGCTTGATGCCAGCAGAAACTAGAAAGTCGACCAGCACCGACTTCAACTTTGTCTGACCAGACTTGAAATCATCGCCAGCGATGAATGCACCATGATGCTCAGCTAGTTCAATAACTCCAGGTACAAACGTATTCTGAGGAGATCCATTAATATAGATACACTGGGGAATAAAAGAAAGGTCAATTGAACTCAATCCACATGGGCCAACCGTCATGACCAACTTACACCTTCGGTGATGGCAGCCATCGCAAAGATAGTCGACGGCGAGATTTCCGACTTGTTCTCTTTCAGTGACTTCTCCAACTCTGCCATGGTGGTGTTCAATCCCTTTGCGACATCAGCGAATCGCTCCGTATTGGCCGTCCACAAAACTACCACCTTGTCAACGCCAGACGATAACTTGAACTCGCGGATATCCTTAACAATCTGCTGGTATTGTTCATAACGGGTTCCGGGGATGGTATTGTCAGCCCTGTCGGCCTGATTAGCTGCTATAAAGTCCGGATCGTAAATCGAGGGCCTTGGTTTCATCTGTGACAACTTCTTGTGCACCTGATCTTGCAACCCGATTTCCAATACTCCGGCCCGTGTCATAGCATCAGCGATGTTCAACGAACTGATATCCCACCCATCTACTACGATATCGTCTGGGTTGACCATCGGGACCAACTTGTTCATGGGGATGTGAACGTCATGTCCGTTGGCATCCGTTCCCAGCAGGACGGTCGATGCTTGAGTGATCGAACCGAACCAGTTGGCCTTCTGCACTCCGGTGCGGGTTCTCCATTCCAATCCCCGTTTGTTTGCTTCCATAGCAGCTGTGATGGTGGACCCATTGTTACCGCCCCATCCGACGAGCATAAGACCCAAACGAGGTACTTGACGCTCCGTTCGGATGCTTAGTTCGGTGGTTTCTGGGCGTACCTGTGGAAGGGAATGGTGTTTTAGTTAATTATTATGGAATGGATTACTTGGAAAGCATTTTCAACCGAGTTTATGAATAGAATTAATAAAAGTTTATGGGTTGAATCTCAAGCTCCTTCACATAATAGAGCTTTAGTGTGAATTGGATTTATTCTTAATATGAGGTCAAGCGTATTGGAATTCGGTTGGAGGAACGCGTGCGTAAAAGAAATAATATTCGAGTTTTAGGAAAGACGTATTGATTGGAAAGCTATAAAAAATCCTTCTCAAGAGTAGCTGTTATCGTAGTAACAGCAATTTGAACAGAAACTTGGTCGTAATTGCTTTGTGAAATAAGGAGCTATTTGAGTTTTAGAAAAGGTGAGTAGATTAGAAATCCAAATAAAATTCTTCTCAAGAGCAGATTTAGTGGTCGTCGCTGAAGTTGTCGCCGGGATAACAACAAGTTGAACGGAAACTTGATCGTAATTGATTTGTGGTGGCCTAGTGGCGACCGATTTTGCTTACTGAGCAGAAGACCGTGGGTTCAATCCCACCGATTCAGCATATCGTTTACGAATCATGCTGCAATCCCACATCCTTTTATCCAACATCCTAGTGATTTCTCGTGGAAGTGCAGTTCGTGACCAGCATTTGGCCGTGGTATAAAAATCTCTGGTCACGTCTTCCTTCGGAATGGAAGTAAAGCCGTAGATCCCCGGCCCATGTGTGTTGATGGGTGCCATATCCTACCCATGTGTGGAAGCTGCATCCGTGCACATTCGATTGTCGTCAATGGATGGCAATCGATATCCGTAGACGATTAACTCTAGATTGCGGAACAGAGACCGACGTTAAATAAATGAATTAAGAAGAAGAAGAAGAAGAAGAAGAATATCTATGTACTTGGGACCAATGTACTAGTCAAGTACTGAGCCAATTTAAAATCGTCAATTTTGTATGGGATGTATGATGGTACTTGCCACACAATAATACTAATGCAAAAATGTTACAGTCTTAGAAAGCTCCCAATTAAGAACTGCTGGATTTTAATTGTGATGTAAACATTTATTCACGTAAACTTGTATTTCATTTCACGCAACCGAGCAACTTGTAAACAATATTGTTTACAAAGATGGGCTTTTGTATACAATATTTGCTTCATTGCATGAAATGTGTAAGAACTTTACATGATATATAATGTAAACGTATGTGATATGTGACGCTCCATTTATGTGCATCATATTGAACAGAAATTTACACTACTTTTTCGAACTGTGTGTGGAAGTGCTCAAGAATACTCAGTTGAGGGCCGGCGTGCAGTTCGAGTACGGACGTAATAAAGTCAATGAAGGAGCGGGAAGAAGGGAGCACCTTTTGATTTTAGTAAACGTCGTAGTACCTAGTTCGTAGAACTTCGATAAAGTTCAGGTAACGTTGTAGAACTTCAAGGAACTTCGTAGATCGTAGAAGTTCAAGGAACTGCGTAAAAGTTCAGGAAACTTTCAAGAAATTTGGCATATTTTATAGATATTCAGCGAACATTGTAGAACCATACCAAATGTTGTAGAAGTGCAGTGAAATTTGTAGGACTTCATCATACTTGTAGAAATTTAGCGATCTCTAGAGAAATTTAGAGGGCTTCGCTTAGCACAGTCGGTAAAGGCGCAGCTACAAAGCAAGACCATGCTGAAGGTGGCTGGGTTTGATTCCCGGTCCGGCCTAGGAATTTTTTGGGTTGGAAAATTTCTCGACTTCTCTGAGCATAGAGTATAATTGTACTTGCCACACAATTATACTAATGTTCAGGTATCGAAAGCTCAATTAATAACTGTGGAAGTACATCTACAGTACATTTGCCTGAAAAGTATACAGAATTTGCCATGTTCCTCGATATGAACAGATTATGTAATGTCTCCGAAAGTTTTTAAACATAATTAATTGGTTATAAGTTTTAACCTCCGAAACTGTACAGAGTGCGTCCCTGTCGCTTCAGAGTGTATACGACATTCATTGCCGTGACGGTTTTGCGCTTGGCGTGTTCTGTGTAGGTGACGGCATCACGGATCATATTTTCTAGGAACACCTTCAGCACACCTTGGGTTTCCTCGATCAGACCGGAAATACGCTTAACACCACCACGTCGAGCCAAACGACGGATGGCAGGCTTGGTAATACCCTGGATGTTATCACGCAGAACCTTCCGATGACGCTTGGCGCCTTCTTTTCCAAGACCTTTGCCTCCCTTGCCACGACCAGTGTTTGTTGCTTGATGTTTGTCGTTGAACGGGTGAATCGAAACTAAGCCAAAAGCGTAGTTAGCAACCTGTTATATAGACAACCAGATAACATCCAGGGCCTACCATCCGTCGTCTAGCTCGACGTGGTGGTGTCAAGCGCAGAGATGCCAGGCTTATTTTGAAAAAATCTGGCAAAACCCGAAAAAAAAAGTCTGGCAAAAATCTGGCACAGTAAATTAACATAGGAAGCTGCCAGATTTCTCAAAAAATCTGTCTGGCAGAGCTTAAATTTCTTTGGCTGTGCCAGATAAATCTGGCAACCTGGCAACGCTGGCCAAGCGTATCGCTGGTCTGATCTACGAGGAAACCCGAGGTGTGCTGAAGGTGTTCCTAGAAATTATGATCCGTGATGCCGTCACCTATACTGACCACGCCAAGCGCAAAACCGTCATGGCCATGGATGTCGTCTACGCGCTGAAGCGACAGGGATGCACTCTGTACGGTTTCGGAGGTTAAAACTTATCACCAACGTAACAAAACCGCCTTTTTCAGGGCTACCAAATTCAGTTCAGAAAAGAGTTAAAATAAAATTTATATAGAGTATCTCCTGCTTCCAAGTTTGGTTACAAGATTACAACTCTGGAGAGCAGTGACGCCGGTGGTGTAGTGGTAAGCGTAATTACCACTCACCCAGGTAAGCGTTAATTACCTGGGTTCAATCCCAGTCGGCGCCGCCGGGATGTTCTGAGGCATAACATCTCTGATCACGCCTTCCTTCGCGTTGGTCCCCAGTTCATGAGTTGATGGGTCGATAGGTAGGGTTCAGGTGTGGGTGGCATTGGTGCTCAGTACGGAAAACAAATCCAAGGAAAAAAAACGGAGAGCATTTTGTGAGGTCGTTGGGGTCATGTGGTTCTGAATTGGCAGCAAAATGTTCCGCAATTGCATCCTCCCTATTTGTACACGCCCGAAGATCGGAGGCAAATGTCACTTTGACTTGTTTCATCTAGGAACCATTCTCTGATGGCTGTGTTGGGGAAGCAGCAAATGCATGTACGTAATTGGTGGATTTGTTAGTTATTTCGATACTTTTGGACAATGCTTGAAATTTACCACTTTTTCAATAGTTTCAATTTGAAAATCAACAGTCAAAAGCATTTTTATCGATGCGTAGAAATGTTTCTGATCGATTGGTGATAGTTTTTTTTTGAAATTGGTTCAGGAGCAGCTAACTTATTAACGTTCAAAATCTTTCATAATTTCATTTTTCGGTTTTCATAAAGTGTACCCCCATCTTCCCGAAGGACGTAGTCCTACGTCAAAAAAGAGAGCGCTGTAGCACCGATAAACCGACATGAATGACCATAGGAAAAACAATCAAATATCTGACCAAAGCACACTACTGACATCTAGCTCCGTGTTCGCGGGAAATATTTAGCTAAGCCATGAACCCGCATGTAAAAGTTATAAAATTGATTCGTGTCTAACCTATTCTGGACTAATTATTTTTATCTAGGTTTTAAGTTCGGATCACTGCATATTTAAATCGGCCGTTTACTATTTTCGGGAATAAGTCAGAATTAAGTGTCATGTCGGTTTGTCGGTGGTTGAAGTAATTTGAAAAACTTCTTTAAAGTTCAGGTACCGTTGTAGAACTTCAAGGAACTTCTTAGATCTTCAAGAAAGTTCCAGAAGCTAAAGGAACGGCGTAACTTTCTAAGAATTCAGGAAACTTCATATAAGTGTGAACTTTATACAAATGTTTAGGAATATTCGTTGAAAAGGTTCAGGATCTTCTCGGTAGTTCGGAGGAGTTCATTGATGTTCGACGATTTTGGTGAAACTTAAATAAAATTATGTAACTTGGAAAAAGTTACAGGAACTAGAAGTTGAGAAAATTTTCTAGAAGTGGGAACTTTGTAGATGTTCAGGGAACATTGTATAAATACACGGAATTCTTGGACACTTTGAAGAAATTCAGTGATCTGCTTGGACGTTTTGGAATCTTTCGCACGGGTTTCTAGAACTTAATAGAGACTAAGGGAACCTCGAACATGCTCGGGGAGTTTCGGCAGAGTTCATGGAACTCAATATGAGTTCAAGAAGCTTCGTAGAAGCTTCGTAAAATTTCAGATAATTTCGGTTTATCAAGATTTCAGGTTTATCAAATATTATTTTGAAGATCTGCAACTATTCATAAATTTAAATGCTAGATCTCAGATATTTGTTATCAGTGGTGTGTCTATCTGTCTGAGATTAGTGAGATTGTCGCGATTAGTGTTTCGTATTTTATGTACAACAATATGCCAAGGAAAGGTTTGAATACAAGCTACCAACACCACCCATCGCCCACAAAATCACCCACTGGATAGTACACAGCCACACCACTAAACGACAGGAAGATCCTCTATCTACCACCAGATATAGGTCGCCATCATTGAGAATCATTTTGATTGGCGATACTCAACAGCGGTACTTCGTAAAGCAAGTTCAAGCAAGTTCAAGCAAGTTCGAAATTCAGTAAGAACCATGAGGACGTGAAAGAAGTGAAGAAGGAGAGTGAGGTGCAGAACCATCTAGGACCCCGTAGTTTACCGCTGGAAATTCGTCCACGGCGTGGTCAGACCCCGTAGTGTCCGTCATTCGACAAACGGCGCGGTTAGATCATAGAGGTAACTCTAAGACTAGTAGGTCCCGAAATAACGTGCTCAACTTTTTGGCTCAGCTCTGGTACTCTCTTCGGTCCCAAGCTAATCGATTCACCCCTCGAAACATAGGAAA